TTCTTCCGGCAATCTTAATTCCGGCTTGCAATTCCTCCAGTCTGGCCTTTTACATGATGGATTCTGCACATAGGTTAAATAAGGAGGGAGACAATATACAGCCTTGTCGTACTCCTTTCCCAATTTTGAACCAATCAGGTGTTCCATATCCAGTTCTAACTGTTGCTTCCTGTCCCACATATAGATGTCTCAGGCACTCCCATTTCTTTAAGAACTTGCCATAGTTTGCTGTGGTCCACACAGTCAAAGGCTTTTGCATAATCAATGAAGCAGAAGAAGATGTTTTTCTGGAACTCTCTGGCTTTCTCCATAATCCAGCAGATGTTTGCAATTTGGTTTATAGTTCTTCTGCCCACAAGAGACTTCAAGGAGATGGCAAAGCCCATGGGCCAGTTCAGTTCACATCCCCCTGGCATCCCCTCCTGCTCCACAACAGCACCATTTGCAGTGCACTTCCATTTCAAAAGACGCAGAGACCGCCCTCTCTCTTCCATGCTGTGCTAGTGCTTTGCTTGTTGTCATTCCCCCCATCTCCCTTCCCACAGGCAGCTGTGCTACAAGTGCAGTTGCTAAACCACTCAGTGATCCAATCTGGCTGCACAATCAAGAGGAAGAAGGGGTGGAGGACCCCAGTGCAGCTGTAACATTTTAAAGTTTTGTGGGGCTGTTTGTTTATTTAGATATCTACTGAACTTGCAAACACAACTGCAGGGAAACAACTCTCTTACTCAGTTATATAACCGACAATGTGAGCACTTAATAACAACCACCAAATGCTACAGTTTGTGCACCCAAGATCTCGGCAAAAGCACCAGTAGTTGCCTGCAGAATTGCAAAGTTCAAGTAGCCTTTTGAATGTGAGAAATCAAAAATATTTTCCTTGACTGGCTTGGCCAGCAACTTCATTCCGATCCTGGAAGATACAGTTAGGGAAGGGTGTTTGCTTCCCAGCACAACTGTTTGAATCCCACTCATGAGTCAAGGACAGTGAAGAGAGGGAACCGAACCTCAAGCCTTCTTTGCGACTCCTGAGAATAAAGAGCGAGAAGCATTCTAGTATTCTCCCAGGGAAGGTAAAGCCACTCTGCCCAGTGGGAGTCTATTGGCTCCCTCCATCTACTACTTTATCTCGAAGGCAGCCACTGTTTCTTGCCCCACTTACCTGATGGGGACTCGAGTTGTGGGACTCTTTGCCAAGTGGAATATAAGTCACTCCAGTGACTCGACTCAAGTTTTCTTCAACGACTCAGACTCACGACTCAGAACCAACCCACTCACATCTCCCCTTTTTCTTGAGGGGGGGGATTGTTTTTCAAATGGACTTGGGACCAGATTCAGGACTCTGACCAAGTCTTACCAACATCACTGCCTTTTCTTTGCGGAGACAAAAAGCTTGTGTTTAATAGGGACTCAAACTTGAGGCTTAGGACTTGGTACCAAAGACTCGGACCCGAACGCTTGTCAACATCCTTGGGGGTTAGGCTGGCGCGCAAGGGACTTGCAACCCCTCCCTTCCTAATCCACCACAGGCAGTCTATCTTGTAGTTTGGATTGCATGTTTAGTCTCATTGTTTCACTGTACGATCTGCTGTACGATTACACCTCGGACAACGACAGATTGGGACTGGCCAAAGATCTGATCACTTCTTACACTCCTAACCTCACATCAGTGAGGTTACAGGCTAGCGTAGCCTACGCATGCTTGCTAAGTTCTAGTACGTTTAATGACGCACGTGGTTCCCAGGGACGACGGTCTTGCACGCCTGTTTCATAAGACGCTCGCAAAATGCGCGCGCCCGAAACCTTCCCATCATTCTTCGCTACGTTTTTGCAGAAAGTAAGCTCTACTGCGCCTGCGCCGCAGGCTTACCCGCACCCCCGTCGATCCCGCCTCCTCCTACGCCATGCGTCGATCAACCTCCACTCTTTGACCTTGGAGCGCGCGGCTGCCGTCTAAGGACCTCTAAAGGTGGTGCGGAAAGCTGCCTCTCCTGAAGGTCAGTTTCCGTGGGCTTTTTTTCAACAGCAAGTATCGAAGAAAAGCAGACGAACCACCTGGAATTTGGGAAGCCAAGCCCTGGAACAGATAGTAGGGCGCTTTTTGGCGGAAACGTTTTGAAACCCCGTCATTCGGTTCAGGCGCAGCCCGGGCAGCTATAGCACAGGGGAGGCCCCTTGCGCACACCCTCCCCGTCGCACCCACGTGGGGTCGAGACTTCCAGAAAGCAGCCGCCGTCGCCGCCGCCGCGCGTCTCTCTCCTTCTCGCCTGCCTGCTGGAACGGCCTTTGCAGCTCCTGCTACCATGTTGAACGCCTCACGCCTGCTCGTTCTTCGCCCCGGCGTGGGCTTCCCCGGGCCCGCCCAGGTAAAGTACGCGGGAAGGACGGAGCCTTCTTTCCCGGGCAGGATTCAAGGACGCTGGGAGCCCCCGCGGTAAAAAGAGCCCGTTATGTGCCCTTCAGGGTCCGGCTCTGAGGAGGTGGGCTGCCCCTGAAGATGGAGGTTTTGCCTCCTTCTCCTGATCAGACGCTGATGATCGGTGGGGGGGGCGGGGGGAGGAGGAGGAGGAGGAGGAATGAGCATCGTTTCTTAGTGACCAATAAAAATATAGGGGTGTGTGTGTGTATATATATTTTAATATATACACTGTGTATATATACATATATTTCAATATATACACGTGTCCATATAGAGATAGATCACTAGAGCTATAGATATGAATGTCAATATATGTGTCTGTCTAAAATTCTGAAGGCTTTTCTTTCGGTGTCTGAATCCAGCCATACAAGGTGGGTTTTTTTTTTTTTAAGGAGTACTCTTAAGCAAAATACTTTCCCCCTGTCGTTTGTCTTTCCTGCTGGCTTCTGCCTTTGAAAATGGCTCCTGTAGGCGGAACGGGGGGGTGGGTGGATGTACAGCGTCCTGATAATTTGTCAGATTTTCCTTAAATCCTGTAACGGGAGCAGGGAGGCCTTTGGAAGAAGACAAAACCGTTGGAAGGACGTCTTGGATGTGATTCGATGGGGAGCATCCTTGCTTACATCACTGTCTGATTTGAAGGGGCCCGTTGACTTAAGAGTTCAGGCTCCTGAAGGACTGAGCCTTGTCCTAGAGAGCATGTGATACTTTTCTATCTGCAGTTTCCAATTCTTAAGTATTTGGGCTTCTGTTGCACATTTCCTTTTAATTTTTGCTACTCTAACCCGTTGGGATGTTTGTGCTTGAGGCAATAAATACAGATCTTATTTGTCTCAAGAGCAGAAAATCTGTGTTAAAATTCAAGTTCAGTGTTTTTCAGAAAGTGCAAGGGATGGAGGGAGCAAAGGTAGTTAGAACTACCCTAGAATGATTGGAATGCTGTGTTTTGCATCTAGTGCCATGGTGATATAACTTAATATAAGTTCTTTTGGAATAAGCATCTCTGGAGTTAAAAAACACTGGATTTTTTAAAGAAGGATGTTGTGTTTCCAGAGAAAATTGTCTTTCAATGCAGAATTTCTTAGGGACATTTTCCTGCTGCCACTTGAGAATAAAACTGCAATTCTGAATTTGGAATAAGTCATAGTGAGCTTTGTGCAATTTACTTCTCAGTCAGCATGCTTGCCAAGAAAAAACATTTTTTGCTTACTGGAATATTTTATTAATAAAATTGTCTTTGTGGGATACCTGGTTTGATGTTTACAAGATATTGTATACTTATTGAAGTTCACAGTGATTTGTTTAGAAGGGCATTTTGTGTTATTTGTTTTATAGGTTATCTGGAATGGCTTGAGTCAAGATATCCTAAGATGTATTGGGAGCAGGAAGTATGCGTAAGTAATATCGGTAAACAGAATGCCAGACATTGCTTCTAGATTATAAAAATGAATTATAAAAAATTCAGTGCGCACTGCTATTTTTCTGTTAAGAAAAAGGGTTAAGCTGTTAAGCTTTATGATCTACTCCTTGTGGCCCCATTAAACATAACATGGCAATTCTTAAAAGATTTCTAGCTTGTTGAGGTGGGTAAAGAAACATTTTTAAGTCCAGAGCATCATATAAGTTTCTGAAGTGTAACATAGTCTGTAAGAAATCCAGAGTAATAATTTCAACTGAAGTGGGAAACAATAAACAAAAATATAAAACAATAAATAAAAGCAGTCAGTTTGGAAATTGGAAAGTTTGGAGAAACCTAAAATACTTAGATAGCATAGGAATAAAATGTTGAATTTGAACAAATGTTTTTATTTTATTGTTCACTGCATTGGGAACCCTGGTAGATAAGTTATTTATTAAATATGTTTAATCAATAACTGTAATGCGGCATCCTTTTTTCTTCTTTGAAAAGAAACACATCAGTTTTGGGAAATACACATATGCTGACAGACCCAGCCAATGAAGGAAGTAAAGAATTGAGAAGTCTCAAATTTTCAGTTTGTGCGGGTCTTCAATTTTCTAAAATCCAGGAATGTCCTTATGAAGATTTAGATTTGGAGGCTTGCAGTGTGGAGCGCCCCTTTCCGAGTGTCAGCCAACCACATCTTTTTCAGGATACTCTATTGTTTTGACTTGTGTACCACCCCATGGTGCTAGAATACACTCTGGGGGGGCTTCCAATATAATTAGGCAGGGAATACTTTGTGTGTCTCCCCCCCCAATGAGATGAGTACTCATTTTACTGACCTCTGAAGAATAGGTCAATCTTGAACTGTCTCAGGCTCATCGTTGGTTCACTGTTTCTCATCCCTCCACTGTCAAAGTCTGCATTTTGTGTTCATGGAGCAGGCTCACTCCATTCTGGGCTAATTTAAAAAACATTTTCCTAAAGTTTTTTATATTTCTGTCCACTTTAGGGTTCCGTAGCTCTAATAAAATTCTTTTTTTGTGTGGTTAAATGGTGCCACATTGAATAAGCAAAGTGAATTGAGTCTGTTGCTAGTGTGTTTTCTAACTGACATTGGGATTAAATATAATTACATAGACAGTCTCACTGCATTGTCGTACCGAATTGGAAGATCATATTTGACAACTGTATATTGTTTGTTCTTTATTGGGAGTGTTAAATTTTTTGCCATTGCCTGTTTATGTCTTCTATTCTGTACATTTATGTTTTTCAAGCTTAGCCATACATCTTAAATTTACATTCTAGTTCAGAAGCAATCAAAGGCGCTGTCATTGGTATTGATCTTGGCACAACCAACTCTTGTGTGGCAGTCATGGAAGGAAAACAGGCAAAAGTGAGTGAGAAGTAACTGTTATTTCCAATTTGAGCACATACTGTCCCAACTGCTTCTGCTCTTACCATTACATTTTTTTTTTATGCTTCAGGTATTGGAAAACGCAGAAGGTGCCAGAACCACCCCTTCTGTTGTAGCATTTACAAATGATGGGGAGCGATTGGTTGGCATGCCAGCCAAACGACAGGCTGTAACTAATCCTCACAACACCTTCTATGCCACCAAGCGTCTCATTGGACGGCGATATGATGATCCAGAAGTGCAGAAAGATATGTAAGGAATCTTTTTTTGTTGCAAAAGTAAACATACCTGCATTGTTACCTCCAAGTTCATTTGTAATTAGAGATGTGGCCTACAATGGAGATGGGGATCTGTGGAGATGGAGAAGAGTTTGAGGGGGCGTAATTCTTGCCATAATTAGCTCCATGTTAAACTTGGCCAGGTAACTTTGTGTCTGTTTTGGCCAGCGTGGTATAGATCACTGGTTCTTAACCTTTGTTACTCAGATGTTTTTGGACTGCAGCTCCCAGACGCCTTCAGCATCAGCTCTGCTGGCTGGGGTTTCTGGGAGTTGCAGTTCAAAAACACCTGAGTAACAAAGGTTAAGAACCACTGGTATAGATGAAGCTCAGAGAGAAGGTTCCTTAATCTTCCTGGTTCAGTCAGAAGCCCACTTTGCTTTTGCGCTATCTTTCCCACTGGGAAGTGGGGGCAGAGCAGAGCTGGGGAAGAATTTCAGGTAATTAGTTGGGACTGTTGTCCTTCTGACTGGAGTTGGATGTGGTCAGCGCCTAGGGAGGGTCTGGATTGGGAACCTCTGTGGGACACAAAAGAGGCAGGGATTCCACTCCTCTGGCCTGAACGTTCATGGAAATATATGAAGTGTTCTTTGTGTACTGATTTTATATGTAATTTTTGCTTGTAGTAGTTTTTCTGGGTGGGTTTAATGGTTATTATTTGATGAAATGGTTTGTACAATAAGAGGTCAAGTGCAATTGTGTTGTGTCACCTCCATAATTTTAGAGGCTCAGTAGCTGTGAAGGTTCTCAAGTTCTCTTTTCTGAGTAAAGCATTGTGTGCAGTCTTTGGAGCAGACCTTTCTGCTTCAGAAATTGCACACGAAATAGGTCTTGCATTTCTAGTCTTGCATGAATGATCTCTGTTTTGTAGCTTCAGAACTAAGATCTTGAAAGACTGAAAGTAGAGGATAGAATAAGTGCTAATAATACTTTGCCACACAGAAACTGTGCAGTGCCATAATGTCAGCTGCTCGTTATAAAATTTTAATGCAAGGTTCTGGTAATGACTTTAGAGGAAGAATGTTTGCATTTTTAAGTTATGCAGAAGTTTAGAAGTGGAGTACTTGGTTGGATGCTTATGATTAATGTCTTGCTGTGTTTGTTTGTTTTTTTAACATTTTGAAAATCCTTGTGCTTTCAGCAAAAATGTTCCCTTTAAAATTGTCCGTTCTTCTAATGGTGATGCCTGGCTAGAAGCTCATGGAAAACTGTATTCCCCAAGCCAGATTGGTGCCTTTATATTAATGAAGATGAAAGAAACTGCAGGTTTGTACAGTAAAATGTGTGAGTGACTGTGGGCCATGCCAGAAGCAATGCATTACAAGAAATAATGCTGCCTGCATTAGATTTTTGGGGGATAACAGTGGTGAAAATACAGTATTGTGGAGCGACATGGTGATTTGTAAACTGTCAAAACTCCAACCAAATGTCCTTAATCAGGCTAAACTAGCACAGGGTAAATGAGATGGGAAAAATAATACCATTCTCTGTAGGCCACCCAGATCTTCCTGGAGAAGGGGCAAAACACATCGGATTGTTTTTTAGATTTCTGTACTGGTTTGGGACAGAGCTTGCTCTCTGGATTAATTGTGCCAGTAATCGTATAGTGAAGGGGTTTTTTAAACGTATTTTATTGCTATTTAATGCAGTCGGTCACACTGTTTCTCTGTCCAACTATCTGGCCTGGGATTAGGAGACACACTATTGCAGGGATTAAGTTGTTGAGGCCTGGAACTAGAGGCCAATGCTGAGTTGGTTTTGTTCTGCTCTTTGGCTTTTGGGGTGCCCGAAGGTTTTAGTTAACATGCTGTTTTACCTCTACTTGAAGCCATAGTGAAATTATGTAGCGATTCGGTGGTATCACAGCTGGTGTCCAGTTGACACAGCTTTGTTTCTTTTTTTGTCAGCTTAGACTATAAAAGTAGACAGTGGATGTTCTGAAAGAAGTGGCTGGAGGAAAACAAGCTGAAGCTTCATTTGGCGACTGTGATGTTTCTGTGGGCAGTTGAGTCAGAGTGGGTAGTGAAACTGGTCCTGAATGGAGCTGTCCTCCCCTTGAAAGAGCCTCTGTGCAGTTTCTAGGTACCCTGGGCTTGTCTGGCAAGCTCCAAGTAGTGGCAGTCACCAGGAGCTGGTGTCAACTGTGACTTTTATTTGTAGTGGTGAATAGCTGCTTCACCTGTTCATGCCATGATTATCTCCCGAGTGTACGTCTGCACTACACATCACCCGGGGCTTTGAAAATAGTTCAGAACCTGCAGCAGGAGAAAAATGAAGGGTTGCCATCAGTTAGGCAGTCCTACATGTGAATTAACACAGGTATCCTTTGGGTGCTTGTTATCAAGATTGGTTAGACTGGCATGCCTAAGAAATAGGGAATCTTTGGTAGTGGACCTCTAAACAGGAACCCCGTCCTGTTGAATTTCATCTCATTGCTTCAGGTGAGCCTTGAAGACAGCAGAGGTGCCATTAACTGGGGTTGCAAATAATTCGTGTTTCAGCATTGTTTTTCAAAGTAACTTGTACTGAAGCAGTTATTATGTTTTTGAAACTTGCTTTTTTTTTTTACTTTGCTATGTTGGGGTATTTCAGCATTGTTTTTCAAAGTAACTTGTAGGTATACTGAAGCAGTTGTTTTTGAAACTTGCTTTTCTTTCTTCTTTTTTTTTTACTTTGCTATGTTGGGGTGTAACATGAAAAAATAGCTAAGAATGCATTGAGTAAATACTATTAAAATAAAAATAAACCAAAAAGCAAATTGACTAGCCTTGTACTCCTTTTCATATGTCCATAGCAGAAACCAATGCAGGTCTGGATCCACACGTCAGTTCATGTCTTGTGTGATCTGTTTTAATAGATGTATTTCTTTCCCTCATAGAAAACTACCTGGGACATCCAGCAAAAAATGCTGTCATCACAGTCCCAGCTTACTTCAATGATTCTCAAAGACAGGTGAGGTGGCCAGAATCCATATTTCCTTTGTAACTCCATTGCTTTGTGTTCTTGAGTAGGGAGAAAGTTTGGGGGGAAATTCCTCATGTGGTCTTCAGTGGAATGTATTGCAGTTTAATGGTACTTTGTAAAATAATCCCAGAAGAAGTTCTGTTGAGGAGAAATGTTTTAAATCTCTCCCTTTGCATGAACAAATGAGATTTACTATGCTGCTTTCTTCTTTCAAGGCTACTAAAGATGCTGGGCAGATTGCTGGCTTAAATGTTTTGAGAGTGATAAATGAGCCCACAGCTGCAGCACTGGCCTATGGCTTAGACAAGGCTGAAGACAAAGTGTAAGCATAAGGCAGTCTTGTATAATGTGATAGTAGTACTTCATACCTTTAGAAAATTTAAGCTACTTTATTGCATTTCCTAATAGATCATATAAATTTTCCTCTAGCTGACAGCTTCTGAGCGTTTTTTCATACTGAGGTTGAAAAGGACAGAAAATGACGTGCAGTTTTGAGGCAGGCAGCAAAAATTGGAGGATTTCAGATAAACTTTATGTCCTTGGCGATTAACATAGCAAAGATATATTTGTTATTCATAGCTGTAAAGAGAAACCCTTTAGTATCATGCATTTTTCCATGCAAATGCTTAAAATGCAGGCGTCTCAATGACATGTCTTTTTAATGTACCTGTGATTTTCTGTTCCTTCCTTAGAAGAGACTTTGGCAGTTCTAATGAAATGCTTGTTGTTAGATTAAACAAGTAATGCAGCAAAGATGGGTATATTGCAAAAATTTCAAGTTAATTAAAACCTTACTCCTTTTCATTGGTATTGTACGATTAATTTGAGGAAACTAAAGTTCCTGAGATTTGGGCATGGACTGATGCTTGTGTTTCTTTGGTTCCAGTATCGCAGTCTATGACTTAGGAGGTGGCACGTTTGATATTTCCATTTTGGAGATCCAGAAGGGAGTCTTTGAAGTCAAGTCCACTAATGGCGACACATTCTTGGGTGGTGAAGATTTTGATCAGGCTTTGTTACAATATATTGTAAAAGAATTCAAAAGAGAGGTAAGTATGTTGTTTTTCATAATCTGTACTCAAAAAATAAATCTCCAATGAAGTCTTTTAAAGTTTAGGTTTCATTAAATATGAAGGGAGTAACACTTCTGCATCAGTCCGTTAGAATTACAGTTAAATTAAGCAGCAAAACTCATTGCTAGTTTTCAGGATAATAAAGGCATACTCTCCCTATACTTTTGCCACTGTCATTACTGAGATTGTTATAAATCTTCTGGAAATGACATCTTCCATCTCATGAATATAGCACAGAGATAGAAATATCTTTTATACAAAGACTACACTGATTGTCCTATAAAGGTCAGTTCTTGGAAGGACAGAATGTGTTCTGTTGCATTTCCTTCACTGAAGGGGAGGGATTCATATTACCAGCCTCTAAATACAGGGAGATGCATTATAAGCATGTGATTGAAAAATTGTCTTTGCTAGTCATGGTGTTTCAGCTATACACACTCAGAGCCATGGCTTTTGAGACTGGATGGTGTTAAACAGGCTTTTCAGCTTTGTCCAGTTGTGTGAGGTTTAAAGAAGTAATTTAATGGGGCTATAAATATAAAAGGTGGAAGTTAATTGGATGCATAATGAAACATTGCATATGGCTGCCTGCAGCTTAGTCAGTGCAGATAAGCACTAGAATTACTTAGTGTCTAATATATTCTTTTTGATGTTTGTGGCAGCAGCAGTAATTTTTGCTCTCTTTGGCCCAATTCCTGTTGCTTAGTTATACCCGTGAAAGGTAAACAGTGTTAACTTCCAGCAGATTCATGCTGGCAGCTCAAGAGTCCTCATTTGGATTTTCAGGTATTACCAAACCCCAGTGGGTATGGATATGGGGTTTTTTTGTTAGTTTCCGGCAAGAAGCCCCTAGATATTAAGCTTGTTTGCCTTCTGCAGGCCTAACTACGCAACAGGATTTGGAGCTCTATCTCATTTCTTTGCAACTAAAACAAAAAATGGAAAGAGGTCAGGAATGGTGCATGTCCTGTACCTGAAGTGGGATTGTGTTTGAGCTTCATCAAAGGTCTTGTGACATTTTCTGCAAATCAGAAAGCTCTCTCAAATGTACTATTCATTCATTCATTCAAAATATTTTCCCCTGCTGTTCTCCTTAAAAACGACCCAAGGCAGCTTGTGTGTTAAATTGGCCATGCTGCCTCTTCATTTGGAGCTACTGCGGTGCTGAGAGCTGATATAGCTGTGTTCTCTGATATAGTAAACTGCTGCAGTAAGCATAAATTCACTTCTGAAGAGCCAGTTTTAATACTGAATGTACCTGTTGTGAAATGTTTGTGTTAAATCTTTATCCCAGCTGTAGTGTGAATACTTAACGCTTGCCCGTTTCTTTCAGACGGGAGTTGATTTAACTAAAGATAACATGGCCTTACAGAGAGTGAGGGAAGCCTCAGAGAAAGCAAAATGTGAACTCTCTTCTTCTGTCCAGGTAAGGAATTGGAAATCATTTTGTGTGTCATTTTGGTGGTTGCAGGTATTGTCAATTAATTGGAGTTGGAGAATGCTAATGCAGAGCTGTTGCCCAATCTGAGAAAACTCAGGTATGCCGAGTGAATCTCCTGAGAGGGCTGTTCCTTTGGCAACAGTCTTGATGGTTCAGATCAGGATTAGGGCCATGTGGGCTGTAGACCGCAGGCAGTTCTCATTGCCTGTGTATATATTGCTGAATTTTGGAAGAAGCTTGGAATTGGCCCCCATCCACTTCCTCTATTTAAAGCAGGCATTTTCTTTGCTTCAAGTTTAATGTATCAGGGTATTGCTAAGTTTCTTGTTTTTAAAGTGGTGTGTGTGGGGGAAATGGATGTCTCAGTTGTAGTCATTGCTAAGTTTCTTGTTTTTAAAGTGGTGGGGGGGGAAATGGATGTCCCAGTTGTAGTCTGATTTTGCCTGTGTGTGTGTAAAAAAAAAAAAAACTGGGGCCCAACTTTACTAGAGTTTTCCAACTCAGTTTAATTTCTTTCTGGTAACAACCATAACCTGGAGCTGTTATATTGAACTTACAATGATTGTAACAAGTGCTGCTGTTGATTAAGAAATGATCACATGTTTTGTTTTGAAGATGCTTACTTGTCAGTGGATTGTTCAGCTTACCGGGCCAAGAAAAACAGATTTAGCTCCCACCCAAAATGGCAGCCTCTTCTGAGGAACAGCGACTTTAGCATTTTTAAACCATTAAACCATTTAAAATACATGCAGTATTGATACTCAATCCACCTTTAAGGTTATCTGTACAAAATAGATACAAATGGCAGATGAGTTGGTGCCAAAAATTTGGGAAAGAGTTCAAGGCTATTCAGATAATCCCTTCCCCCCCTTGTTTGTAATGTTTGATATTATTTCGTTCCATTGCAGACAGACATTAATTTGCCATACCTGACAATGGATGCTTCAGGACCAAAGCATTTGAACATGAAGCTGACTCGCTCTCAGTTTGAGGGAATAGTGGCTGATCTCATCAAGAGGACAATAGCACCTTGCCAGAAGGCCATGCAGGATGCTGAAGTCAGCAAGAGGGACATTGGAGAAGTCATTTTGGTTGGTGGCATGACCAGAATGCCAAAGGTAGGATGACTTGATGTACTTGGATCTGCTTATCTTGGAGCCTGTGAAGTGCTCTTTGGACCTTGATCAGCCCTTTGTTTTAAAGCTGCACAAGTGACTTGAGTAAGGTAGTAAGTGGAGAAGGTTGGTGTTGGTAACTAAACATTAGCCTTGGAGCAGTTAATCATCTGCTGACCTAGTGGCTCATGTGCCTGTTAAATTTTGGTGAATCTTCATGTCAGCTGCTCCCAGGTACCCCTCGCTATGCTGAGTGGGAGGGGGCCCTAGAAGCTACTGTGTACGTAATTGCCGAAGGAAATAACATAACTTCCTTCATCACTGAGGCACTGGGAGGGTTCTTCAGCTTAAAGGGTCAGGTCTGCTGCAGTACTAGTGGGGTTGGGAAAAAAACATTGATATGATGGGGAAGACTCCAGTTTTCAAGGAGCAATAATTTAAATAGTACTGTAAGAGAAAGGGACATACACTCTGCAAGATTTCTTTTTCTGATTCTTAGGGGTGGTTGTATTTGTTTCCTATAACGTGATGGTCCTTGAAACTTTCACCGTAATATATATGCTCATAATTGGTCCTGGACAGCAGTGTTATTTCTAGAGTTAATAGAATCAGAATGCTCTGCTGATACATCAACTGTAGCATGAATTGCAGCTGCAGTATGGAATGTAATGAGACCCTCCCTTTTCTCCTCTTTACTGACAAACACGTTTCCCTATTCAGGTGCAACAGACTGTGCAGGATTTGTTTGGCCGCGCTCCTAGTAAAGCAGTGAACCCCGATGAGGCTGTTGCTATTGGAGCTGCTATCCAAGGAGGCGTGTTGGCGGGTGACGTTACTGATGTGCTGCTCTTGGATGTGACTCCTCTTTCCCTGGGAATTGAGACACTAGGGGGGGTGTTCACTAAACTCATCAACAGGAATACAACTATTCCAACCAAAAAGAGCCAGGTGAGGTAGAGAACATGCGCACCACCTGGAAGTTGTTTTATTTGAAATGCTCCTTTGCCATTTTTGTGCCCTTCCACAGTCATTTCTGGGTTGATTCCCCAACATTTATTCTCATAACTCTGTTCATCTTCAGCTATAGCTTTAACTGCTGCTTTTGAATTTAAAATACTATACATTTAGTTTGTTCTCCAGCCAAAAAACAGACTTCTGGAGTGCATGACAGATGATGAGTTGCATGTGATTCATTTCAACGAGTACTTTTTTCTTCTTACATTTCTTTCTTTGTCCTATATCATGTAATACCGCTGATATAAAATACGCTTCTCTTCTACAGGTATTTTCTACAGCTGCTGATGGACAGACTCAGGTGGAGATCAAAGTTCACCAGGGAGAGAGAGAAATGGCTGGTGATAATAAACTACTTGGCCAGTTTACTTTGGTATGTTGGGTGTGATATAAAAGCACATTTTTCTTTCTTATAGTGACAAAAGCTATGGGAAGTCGTCTCGGTTAATAATGCAGGAACACAAACATTTCAGGAGCAGAAAAAAGTTTAGATAGTAGTCTTTTAAAAATCTTAGCATGCTTAGTAGTGTTTGGAGTGCTACAGCTGCTAAAGAATTCAGGTAATGTAAATTTTTAGATTTTAAACATAGTGTTTGGGCAGCATCTACCATATTGAATTTGTAGGGACTGGATTAAAGTTAGTGGGTAGTACTAAAAATGGGAATTTCTGAATTTGGCTACTTACTAGCCAGTAGGGTTAATAAGGGATTTGAGAACCAAAATCATGAAGATCAAGCCTGAATCACTATCTTGGGGAGGCCCTTGTATAAGCTTTCTAAATAAACTTTTTGTTTCTGGCTGCTCTAGTAATGCTGAATTTTTTACTAGCAAAGCACTTTGTGATTTCAGGTGGGAATTCCACCAGCTCCGCGGGGAGTCCCTCAGATCGAGGTAACGTTTGACATTGATGCCAACGGAATTGTTCACGTGTCTGCAAAAGATAAAGGCACAGGACGGGAACAACAAAGTGAGTACACGAACAGTTCTTTCTTTCAGGGGAGGGAAAAGATGTTGTTTTGGTCTAGCATCCAGAGGTAGTAAAGGGAGAATATACCTTCATAAAAGCCTAGGCAGCAGAGCCAATGTAGAAGGAAAGGAACACTTCTTTTAACATTAAGGCTATAGGTGGTCATTTAGGATTCTGTTTACTACTTGAGGTTTAAACATTTCTGGAAGAGTTTTCTATGATCTGAGTTTTGGCTGCTGGCCAGAAATCTAGGCAGTGTGTGCTGTGATGCAATTATCAACACATCATTCTGAAAACTTGTGTGGAAGATTTTTTGACTGAGCACAACATAGCTGGAAAGCTGGCCTTGCTGAACTTTGGGGTTTGTTAGGAATACTCAAATATGAGAACAAAACATCAGAGTTATTGAAAAGCTAAGCTGCACTAGAGGAATCTAGCTCATAAAACACAAACACACTTTAGAAATGAAGACCCAAAGTTACGTTTTTACTAAAGAAAATTAGTTAAATTACGTTAAACTGGCCGTGAAGGGATCATGGCTGCCCTCTTGCCAATATATGGTTATCTTTAAGCACATTGAATGAGGAAGAGGAATTATGGGGAGCTGGTCCTACCAGCTAGTAGAACATCCTGATGGAAGTGTATGGAAGAATGAACGTCATCTGGTTAGCTGGTCTTGAATTAGAGCAGAAACTGTAGCTAACCAATGCTGACTTGCTAGCTTGGGGAAGAGGTCTTTTTGCCATTATTAGCTCCATCAGTTCCTGCCACAAGATGCAATTCAACATAGCCTTCTCTACCCTGATGCCTTCCAAATATCTTAGAGTAAATCTTGGAAGAAGAGCCTTTGTATGTCATTAAGAGTTATACAGTTTTGCACAGACATGCTCTTGCTACAGTTTGGATTTGGATGTGTGATGTGTCTGTGCTTGTCTAGGTTTGTTTCAGATATTCTCTAACTAAATCATTTCCCCATGTTTCTGTAGTTGTGATCCAGTCTTCTGGTGGCCTTAGCAAAGATGATATTGAGAACATGGTGAAAAATGCAGAGAAATATGCAGAAGAAGATAGGCGAAGAAAGGTAAGATTGCAGCACTGGCTTCTAGCTCGCCCATATGAAATCTTTCTGGTACAGAAATCTCTTAGAACTGTGGTGACAATGTCTGTGAAAGTCAGTAACCTATGTCTCTGATCACATTTGGAGGTGGGTGGGGTTGTGCTGACAGGTACAGTTGCATGTTGCAGTAGTCTTTGAAAACAATATCCAAACGTATGTACTGCAAAAATCTGTAGCTTTGTAAATGGAAAAATTTTTTGCAACTTGGAAGTAAAAATGAAATGTGTTTCATGTGTTCTGCTTATTCTAGTATCTTTATTTCTGTTTTATATCATGATAAAAATATACATACTTGCATTTATGTTATAATCTATAAAGCACAAATACTTTACGTGGGGGTACTAAACGGAGAAGCGGTATTTTGTGTTCCTAAACTAGACTAGGAGCAAATTGTGGTATTGTCCGAGAGTTGTTTGTTAATACTGAAAAATTAGTGTAAAGCTGAAAAAGAGCACTAGAACCATACTGCCAAAACATAATTTACATAACACTTCTGATGAACTTGAAGTACACATTAATTTATTAATTAATTTAATTTAGATTAATTAAGATTTATATGCCCTGTCCCACTAGTGTAATACACAATAACAAAAAAGTTAAAAACAAAATAACACACATTAAATAAAGCAGATAAACAAAACGCAAAAAAAATCTAAGAGGCATACGTTTAAAGATAAAATGTAGCATGCAAGGCATACAAACAGAAGAAAGCCAACAGGAAAAACATGTTAGGCAGGGTTGCCAAGAAAGGCCTCTTACATTACTAAACTCGATTGACTATGAATCAGAAGCACTGCAAATTGAAACCAAAGAGATTTCCAGGGAAGAATGCCGAAAGACTATTCATGTAGTCAGAAGAAGATAAATGCTTAGATGAGTACTTGGAAAAAAACACTTTAAAAATATTAAAAACCAGCAAGAAAAAGTGAAAGTTGACAGAAATAGGGTCAGAATCCTGAATGCTTTTCAGTGACTTTGACATAAAAATAGAATTATTACATTGATCAGTGCAGAGAAATAGAAGAGGACAGCAGAAGTGGAAAAACACATCGTCTCCCTAAGATCCAAGAACATGAAGAGAAATTTAAACATACACAAGGAGTGCTGAAAGGCCATCAGGGGTATATACTATTTGACCTGGATAAAATAAAGTGGGAACAGTATCCTGAAAGAATCTGTAGAGTACAGTGGGCCCTCGACTTACGAACTTAATCCATTCTGGAAGGACGTTTGTACCTCGGAAAGTTCGTAAGTTGACCTACCATTTCCCATTGAAATGCATGGGAACGGAATTAATCCGTTCCAGCATTTCAAAAAATAAAATAAAAATACAAAAATAGAAATAGCAAGTCCCACGTTGGGACTGTTAAAAAAAACACACAAAACCCCACAGAAACATAACCCCCCAGTCCAAACCCACCCTCCAAAACCCACACAGAAAAGTTTTTTTTTAAAAAAAGGACTTACCTGCCAGTGCTCTGCTGCCTCCGCATGGCTGGGGGTGAGCGGCCAGGCGCCCGGCCAGTTCTAGCCTCCTGGCGCTCTGTTGCCTCCACGTGGTTGGGGGCGAGCGGCCAGGCACCCGGCCATCGCGGCGGCGGGG